AACACAGGACCAGCAGCGCTCTGGTTCTCAGCCTGGCAATGTAACCCAAGAAAACCAATGTTGACCAACAACCCCTGTGCACCAGGGACAGGGCGATGCCATCACTGTGCAGGCTCACTGAGGCAGGCCAGCCATCCTGGGCAGCAGTAAAAGAGAGGCAAGGGCTAGGGCTCTCCAGCAGCTTTCCCACCCTGGGGATGCCTCCCTCTGCCCTGGGGCCCATTATCCTAACTGGGGAGTCTGGAGCCTGAAACACCATTTCTTGAGGGGCCCTGGTCATGCTCACTTCACTCCCAGCTCCGGGCCTTCTCCACCTCCTCACAAATCTCCTCGTCCCTGCCCTGGCATCCTTCCCCCTCCTAACAAAGAGGATATAAACTTCTTGAGGGTAGGGACTGTCTTGTTTGCTAGTATCTGCATCCCCAGCATGGCCCACTGTTAACTTCGTAATAAATTCTCTATCTATAAATCTCCTGTGGAAAGTCAACAACTCTTTCCTTAGGACTCCAATGTCAAGAAACACATTTTATTCCATAAGATGTACGTATTCTGCTCAATGCAAAAAACTTCCTAGGCACTATTATGTGCCAGGCACTATCAGGTGATGGGGATACAAAGGCAGAAGGGAGGCAGACCCTGTTTTCATCAGGGGGAGCTAACATTCTATGGACACACGTGGGTCCACACAAGATAATACAGTGATCTAATGAGGGAAAGAGAGGATGCAGGAAAGGCCTCAGGTAGAAGAGGCACCTGCGCTGTATTATGAAGGAAGCGAGAGATTCCCAGAAGTGAGGAAAGAGAAATGCGGGAGGCAGGGAGTATCTCATGCCAAGGCAGGGAGGCAGAGAATCTATAGACAGGAAACAGCTAGCAGCAGGCCAGCTTAATCAAGAGATAAGAAGGGGAAAGTAGGTGGGATCCAGATTGTAGAGGGCTTGAAGTGTCAAGGTGAGAATTTTCTATTTTATCTTAGAACAGGAAGCCACTGAATAGCTCAGAGTAGGAGCTCGGATTGTCAAATCTTCATTTTTGGAACGAATTTGGCAACGATATGAAGGATGGATTGCAGAGGGGAGCGACCAGAAGCAAAGAGAACAAGGAGGCTACTGAAACAAAGGAAGCTGAAATAAACCCAGAGAAGCCACCAGCAGAAAGGTGATGAGCAACTCAACTAGAGCAGAGGCCGTGTGGATTGAAAGGAGATTTGAGGAAAGTTATAGACTAGAAGTGACAGACCTGGCAACTGATTGGATATGTGAGATGAAAGAGAGGGAAGGCTCAAGACTGAGTGCAAGTAGCAAAGGGGAGTGAAGAGAAGGATGGCAAAGTCATCAAGAAAAGGAGGGAGGCGAAGAGATGGCACAGCAGTCCTGTGTCAGGCACGCTGAGTATCTGAGATGCCTATGACACAGCTAGGGAGAGATGTCTAGAAGACAGGCAGCTGATAATGTGAGCCTGTAGTTAAAAAGGAAACGGACAAGTTGGGGAATCATCGACACAATGAGCGTGACCGAATCCAAGGGACTCAATGACATTCACAAGTTAGACAGATAAAGGAAAGGACCTAGGACAGAGCTTGGGGCACACCACACTTGGACAGGAGCAGGATAACGGCACAGCCAAAGAGGCTGAGAAAAACAAGTCAGCCAGGTTGGAGATTCAAGAGGGAAGAGCATGCCTAAAGACAAGGAAAAAGTGAACATCCAGTGGGTGACTGGAAGGTCAAAACCTGTAGAGGCTAAGCCAGACGAGGACTGAAAAAAGGCCAACCAATCCATAAGCATTTATTAAGCACCTATTATGTGCTAAGCACTGGGGATACAAAGAAAGGCAGAAGAGTCCCTGCTCTCAAGGAGCTTACAATCTAAGGCAGAGACAACACGCAAAGGAATGTATAAAAAAGCAAGCAGTATACAGGCTAAATAGGAAATAGTCGATCCAGGTAAGGCACTAGACTAGAGGTGCTGGGGAAGGGGTTTACAGAAGGTGGGATTTTAGCTGGGACTTCAGGTCACTGGAATTGGTAGTTAAGAGATTGTTGACAATCTCAGAAAGAGCACAATCTGCCCAAAGCAGACTACTTGCTAATTTCCTACATCTGGCATTCAATGCCTCACCTCTGTGCCCCAGTCCCTTTAAGGTTCTCCCCCATCTCCTCCACACCTTGTACAATCTTTAGCTTCCTTCAAAGTACAGCTCAGGGGCCATCTCTGGCCTTTCCTAACCCCCTCCTCACACGTCAGTGCTCTCTGCAAACAAATGTGTGTGCGCGCGCATGAGTACACACCTGTATCTCTTATGTTTACTTCTCTGGGTATAGGTTGTACAACGTAAACTTCTTGGGGTCCAGAACACTTTCGTTCTCTGCATCCCCAATGTCTAGCATACAGATGGTGCTCAATAAATTCAGAGCTGAAAAGGACTTCAGAGATCACCACACAGGACCTCCCCCCATTACAGGGGAAGAAGCTGAAAAACCCAGAGAAGTGATGTTAACTGTTTGAAGTCGAGCAGCTTGTCAGCAGCAAAGGCGCTGGACCCAAGGTCCTAGGCCTGTGATCGTTTCACTCCATCCCACTTTGGTAAGGTCCCATGCCCTAATTACATATTCCGTAAGCTTCAAGTGCCACTTAGAAAATACAGTGGACCAACTTTAAGATCCTGGCTTAATGCCTATATTTAAGAGTGTGGCAGAGCCTAAAATGGTTGAGAAAAAGGAGGGTTTCACAGAAACGATGTGGAGACTGATGCTGTGACATGATTGTGACATTGGATTTAAGACGAAAGTGGAAAATTAACTCAAAAACACTGTGGTCCAAAGTAGTAGTATATGTCTGAAGAAGCAAAACGGTTCTAATGGGAATTATTTTGCTAAAAGAAAATTCGGCCCATCCCTTAACTCTCTATAGTGTGGCTTCCGACCTCGTAATTCAACTGAAAAGACTCTCTTCAAAATAATTTCTTTTTTAAAATGTTATGTTCATGTTTTATTCCTGTTTGATTAAAATATATATGTAATTTTTTATTTGTATAAAGCTAATAGCAGATAGTAGTAGTAGGGCGTGGCACATTATCTGCTAAGACACTATATAAACAGGCCATTTTCTCAAATTTATAATCTTAAACTATCAACCTTAACTTAGGGAGGGACTCATTAAGACACACTAAAGTACCCCACATTTGAGCTCATTCACTCCCCCTGAGCTGTATGGAAAATGGGACTTGAGTGGGGATTGGGGGAGACTTGTTTCAGCCTCCAGGAGTCTCACCCTTCATATTGAGTGAGTGCTCTACGGGACAAAAATGGTTTTCTTCCTTAGAGGGCAAAGGCTCTGGTACAGTGGAAAGAGTCAGAGACCTCGAGTTCAAATCCTACCTTTTATTTAAATTTTTTAAAAACTGTACATTCATTGATTTACCCCTCCTTTAAGCCCCTCCCTCACCTGTTGAGAAGGCAAGCAATATGATACCCATTATAATTTGAAGTTATATAAAACATATTTCCACATCAGTCATGGTGCAAAAAAGACACGCATCTGGAGATGACAAATATAAACTCTTCGGTTGGGCTGTTAAAGCCCTCATAACCGGGGCCCTCCTACCTTTCCCTTTCCTGCCTTCCACATCAATGACACTGACCTTGCTGTTCCTTGCACAAGATGCTTGTCTCCCAGCTCCATACATTTCCTCCGACTAACCCTCCGCCGCGATTCTCTCCCTCCTCATTACTACCTCCCGGCTCCCTGCCTTGCTCCACATCCCAGCTCACACCCTGCCTTCTCAAAGAAGCACTTACAGCCCCCTTAAGGCTGGTGCCTTCTCCCAAGATCGGCTCCGGCCTATCCTGCATCTCTCCTTGCTTGTGCGTCTCTCCTACCAGACCTTTTCCAGGCCTCCCTCCCCCTTTCTTTACATAGCCAGCACCTCCCAGGGTATCGAACGCTTATCAAATTGCTCAGTGAATCTGGCCGACTTGGCAACGAGGGACAGCTGCGAGTGGCCTATTCTTCCTCTCAATCACAACAGCACTTACACCCTCTATGAATATCTGTTAACATTAATGTCTAACACGGCATGTTCTAGCTATCGCCTGGTTCCTTGGGCACGCGGCCCATCACCCGTGACACTGTCATCTCTGGGGGGGGGGCAGGGACCGTCTTAGATAGCTGTGTATTCTCCGCCCTGCCTGGTGCAGCACCTCACTCATGGTAGGGGATAAGGGTCTTCAGCTCAACAAACATTATTAAGAGCATACTATGTGCCCAGCACTGTGCCAGGCAAACAGTGCCACTACTAAGGGAATTTACATTTTAGTGGAGAGAAATGAGCTGTATGTAGATAAGCTAATATGTAAGATACATGGGTAAATACAGAGGGATCTGGGGCATCAGGAAAGACCTCGGGCATCAGATGGGAGCTGAGCTAAAGATTCCCAAGACTCAGGGTGAGGAGGGTGAGGGTTCCAGCTGTCTGATGAGAAGGCAGAGCTCTGCGGAGGTAAAGTAAGTCGGCCCAGAAGGATGAGTGGGAGCCAGATGGGGAGGAGTGTTAAATGTCAGAGGAGCCAGTATTCTGTCTTAGAGGCCAGAGGGATCCATTCAAGCTTCTTAAGCAAAGGGGGTGATGTGGTGCCTCAAGAAAAGAGAGGGGAAAGAGGAGTATTTCCCACGTCTCAGGCTTCCAATTTGGAATCATGGAGACAAAATCATTTGGGTAATGTAGTTTTTAAAAGAGATATCCTCCTAAGTAGAGACCTCCCCACAGTCCAAAATGTTCCTCCAGGGGCAGCTAGGTGGCACAGTGGATAGAGCATGGGCCCTGGAATCAGGAGGACCTGAGTTCAAATGTGACCTCAGGCACCCGATACTCACTAGTTGCTTAACCCCGACTGCCTCATCCAAAAAAAAAAAAAGGTTCCCCTAACAGACAACCTCTCAGAATGGAAACCAATCAATAATCACTGAAATGAACGACTGAAGTAAAAAAAAAATACTTACTTTGCAGCAACATAATGTCTTTTGGCTGCCTGAACATTTACAAGACAAGACGCAACTGCAACCCGGGAGAAACACTGACTCTGGTACTGAAGGAAAACTGAAAAAGGAAAACAGGAGGAACTTTAACGTGCTGGGTAATCACTCTCATATTTTCAGTGTAAGAATGGATACGTGCTTTGCGAAAATCCTTCCTTTGCATAGTCCTGGGGGCACTGGATGGATTGCAATCCTTCCCAGCACTTTCTCCCGCCTGTGTGACACTCGGTCATTTCCCAGACATCCTGCACAGAAGCTCTGTCCTAGGCTCTGGAGACCAGACTCTCGGGGCACCAGTGCTCCCAGGAAGCCCAACCTTCTTTTTCCATGATGGGCTCTGCAGAGTACAATTTATGCCCTTCCCACGGGGCAGAGGAAATAGGCCTTTGAATCAATGGGCAGTCTGAGATTACAGACAACACTGTGAAACTTCCCAAATTCAGTTCCACTCAATCTCTTTCCCCTACGCAACTCCAGGCTTAGCTCATTATCCACTCTCCGTTTATCAAAGAAAAAAAGTAATGAAAGATTAATCTGACAGACTGTTGGCCCAAATGGTGTCCTAGTTCAGGCAATATATGTTTAGTATCTTATTACTATGCTCAATTACTTTAGACGGTGCAATGATACCTTTATTAAATCTTTTTATAGAGCAATTTTATATTTATTCATATACCAGGCCCATGTGGAACAGGTACGTGTGTACGTTATTATTTTAAAGTATGCAACTGCAGCAGGATTTTCAAGCAAATGATTTATCAAATACCGTACACTAATGAGTATAAAAAAAATAGGAGTTGTTTACAAAACTAAAAATATTAATGTCAAGATAACAAGAAGAAATTGCAAGGAGAGGCAAGAAGTCCTTGTCCTCAAGAAGCTCAGGGGGAAAGGGGGAAATAATATGAAAATAACTGGCACACCTTAGGTAAATACAGAGTGAACAGAAGGTCATCTCAGAGGGGAGATTAGCAACTGGGGGGCACGGGGATGGGACTGTGAGATTTGAGCTTAAATCTGAAGGAAGCCATGGAAACAGAGAGGAGGCAGAGGTAGTGGAGAGCACCGCAGAGGTGAGGCCATCAGTACAAGTGGGAGATGGGGCACCATGTTTGAGGTAACCAGGAAGCAGGACTGGAAAGGGCATGAGGGAGGGGGAGTGTAAGAAGACTGGTCAGTGAGTCAGTCAATAAACATCTGCCTACCATACACTAAACACTGCACTAAGTGCTAGGGATCTAAAAAAGGCAAAAAATATTCCCTTCTCGATGAGGAGGCCACACGCAAACAACCTGCACAAACGATATACAGGATTAATTGTAAATGATCAACAGACAGTCGGCACTAGGATTAAGGGGGATCAGGAAAGATTTCCTGTGGAAGGTGGTGGGAATTTAGCCCGGGCCTGAAGGAAGCTGGGGAAGACTGGAAAGGCAGGAACGTACGAAGGAGCCAGAATAAGATTTTTGGCCAAACAGAGGAATTTACTGGAGTGGGGCAGGGACGATGCAGTCAGACCTCTAATTTAGAAAATGGCCTTGGCAGTTAAGGAGAGGATAAACTGGAGCGGGGAAGAGGCTCAAGGCAAGGAGACCAATAAAGGGGCCTGACCTAGGGTGGTGACCATGGGAGTGGAGAAAAGGGTCATTTATAGGAGCGATGGGAAGGTGGAAACAACAGTTTCTGGTACCTGCGAGGGGAAGGGGCCAAGGATGGCATAGAATTATGACTGAGAAGAAGGTAGTTCCCTCGACAGAAACAGTAATCCTCCTCAGAAGAGGGAAGGATTTGAGGAAAGATAATGAGTCACACATGTTGAGTTTGAGATGCCTATGAAACATCCGTTATCCATACATGCTCCACTTCAATGATAAAAAAAAACCTCAGCCACTTCCTGTCTGACCATCACCTTCTATCACTGTTTCCCTGTCTTACCCTTCCTACATCAGTTCTGTGTCTCTGCTCAGACTTCGCTTTGCTCCCTTCCCAAGATTAACTTTCTAATCAACCTGTTCCACTCCATACTGTCCCCTACTCTCAAACCTCTTGCCCTGTGGTCCTTTCACCCATCCCTTGTCAAAACTCAACCTTGAATTACACCCTACATCCCCCTCCTTGGCTTCTATACATGCTGAACAGGGGGAGGAAAGCTGCCAAATTGTGCTTCTGGGTTCACACACATAACTGGATCCTACTATGTAGGGCAATCCCTTTTCTCCTCCCTCACTCCCTACAGAAGCAGTTTGAAACACTCCTTTCTTCTCCAGCCTCCCACAGACAACTGAAGCCTTCCAACGGGAGCTCCCAGCTCCCTCTTCATCTCAAAACCCTTCACTCTGCTCCTTTCCTCCAGGCTCAGATGAGGAAACACGTCTCCTTACCAAAGCCGGCCCCTCTACCAGTGTCCATGATCTACCCCCTCGATCTTCCCCCACTTCTCTCTCTAGTACCAATCTTTCCCTGGCTATGGATTCTCTCTCTATTGCCTTCAAACAAGCCTCCTCTTCTTTAAAGAAACCTTTGCTAGACCCTACCTCAAGCACTGTCCCAAGCCTCCCCCGCTTTCTTGGCCAAATTCCTAAGAAAAGTGATCTACATTTACTGCCTCCACTTACATTCCTGTCCCTCATGCCTCAACCCTTTGCACTCTGGCTTCCGATCTCATCACAACTTCAAAGCTGCCTGTTATAAATGGCCATATCTAACAGTCCTCATCCTTCTTGGCTTCTGTCTGCTGCGTGACACAGTTCATGCTCTCCTCCAGATACTCTCTCCTCTCTGGATTTTCATGGCTCCCCTTCTACCTGTCTGGACAACTCTGTCCTCTTCACTTGTTCCTTACCCAGATAATGTCCCCTGCCTGAGGGTGTACCCCAATTATCTGTCCTGGGCCCTCTCCGTAAGAGCTAGTGAGAGAGTGTAGAAAGTTTTCATTAGCTCTTTGAAGATAATTCCTGATGTATATTATATAGCCAGCCCTCATCTTTCTCCTGACCTATCTCATACCAGCAACGGCTAGCTGTGTTTTTCAAAATGGATGTTTGGGAGACATCGCAAACTTAACACATACAAAACAAAACTCATCTTTTTCCTCAGTGAAACAATGTAGTCAAGGGATGACTTTATTAACAGTGTAAAAGCACTGGTGATAATCAGTTAGCTTTAATGTTGTACATTTTAACTATCGTGGCACTGCACGTGTACACATGAAAATATTTTCTATTTTCATATACAGATGTTAACCTGAGGCACTGTTTATAAAACATTGTGCACAAAGTAATCGCTTTGCAATAATTAATATTATTTAGAGAATCAAAATCTAATGTTAATTCAAGAAGAAATAACCTACATTCAACATATTACACATACCTAACTATTGCCAGGCTTTATTTATCTGACTTTAAAAAAGGCATTTAAAATCTTAATTTTCTTTAGAGGATATTATTTTGCAAATATCATTGTTCACTGAAAGCTGAAGATTATGCTGTCTGACCAGCCTTAAAAACCTCATGTAAAAGACAGGCTTTGCCTCTTAAATTTTAACAGGAATAGTACAATCAGCCAATCTCTCTCTCTCTCTCCAGGCTTATAATAATGAAAACTCTTAGAAATACAATTCCCAAATTCTGGCTTAGAAAGACGATTCAGAAGTAAGAGTGATTTGTTATAAAAGTCAAATTCCATCAACCGTAATGTTAAATAAAAGGGACAAATAATTAGGCTATCCTGAGCATCCACAGAGAGCACAGTATTACTTCAATAGATTTTAATCCTATTTAAGCTGTCCGTTTGCTGTCCTTCAGAGGTAAAACGAAGTTCGAACCATACAGTCTGTGGTAACATCAGCAACTTCGAGTTCCTGTCCGTCAGTAACTCCCAATTCTCTTAACGTCCTAGAAAGACGCGGCCTGCTTGGCCTCGTTCATTCTCCGGTAGAAGTTATGCTCCTAAGGAAAGCGTTCTGTTCTCCCCAATAATGGAGCCGTGACGCTGGAGACTTCATCTGTAATGAGGCACTAGTAATCAGAAGGTCCAACGCCTCTTGCGGTATTTCGGACACTGGCTGCGAGCTGGACGTGTCCAGCCCATCATTAACAAACAAGTAATTGGGGGCAGCTAGGTGGTGCAGTGGATGGAGCCCTGGCCTTGGAGTCAGGAGAACCTGAGTTCAAATTCGGCCCTTGACACTTACTAGCTGTGTGACCCTGGGCAAGTCACTTAACCCCAACTGCCTAAAAGCAAAAAAAAAAAAAAAAGAGCTCAAGCAACATTTGTTAGCCCACAAACGTCCAATGAGGTAGGAGCTATTATTTACATAAAGAAGAAACAGAAGCTGAAGGACTTGCCCCAAGTCACAGAACTAAGGCAAGATCTGAACTCCCCCATTACACTGTAAGCTCCTCCAGGGCAGGGGCTGATTTTTGCCTTTTTTTTTTTAATGCCCAGAGCATTAATTTTTTTAAAATTAAATTAAATCGAAATTTTAAAAATGTACCAGTGGCTGGTACACAGTAGGCGCTTAATAAATGCTGAATGAATTGACTTGATCTCAGGCCCTTCTCTGTCCGGGCCCACAGGGCCATACACTGTACTTTCACTCAGCTAAGGTGTCATCAAGGTCAGAATGAACACGGGCTCTGTAACGACACATGCGCAGTCTGTCAGTTAACGAGCATTTATTAGGCACCTACTGTATGGCAGGCACCGTGCCAGGCGCTGGGGAGACAAAAAGGCAAAAGGCAGTCCTGCCCTCGGGAAGCTTACAATCTAACGGGGGAGGGGCGGGGAACACGCAAGTCGTACACAGGATAAACAGGAAGTAATTAAGAGAGGGAATGGGAAAGCTTTCCACACAAGGTGGGGTTTGGTGGAGAGGTGCAGGAAGGCCGCAAAGGACGGGAGGCACCCGGGCCATGAAGGCCTTGGGTTTGACGCTGGGGGCAATGGGGAGCCACGGGAGGTTGTTGAGCAGGGGACTGAGGGGTGACGCGATCGGACTCGCGCTTTACGAGGATCACCTGACCGGAGAATGAAGAGACTACAGGCTATTACGGCAGTTCAAGGCTGAGGTGACCAGCGCCTGCCCGGAGACCACGAGAAGCCGGCTCTCCCGCCCTGCCTTACCTCTCCCGAAGCAGCTCATGGCCGCCGCCATCTTGACCGACACGCGCTGCGCCAGGCCAAAATCAGTCCCCGCTTCCACTAGGGCGTGAGGATGAAAAGTTCCGGCTAGAGGGAGGCCGAGGGCGGGGGCCGAAAACAGAGGTGGACCAAGTAGGAACGGCGAAGAGACTCACCCCGCCCCTTCCGGGGTGGTGACACTCTCTGTCTTCCCCCTTGGCTACACCCCTTCAGGCTCCGCTTTCCGGGTCGCCAGCCACTGAAGAGCAAGCGACTGGAAAACGGAAGCGCGCCGGAAGCGTCAGAGCGTCTGGCCACGTGTGGAGTTCGAGCCAATGGGCGGTCTCCAAAAGAACACGTGGTCGGGAGCAGGTCGCGTCCCTCCTCCCGCTATAACCTAGCCCTGGGGTGTTTGCGTCGTTGTTGCTTAGAGCCCTTCAGCTCCTGTGGTCATTTGAGCCTTCCCTCCTCCAACCAACAATCGATCATTTAAACACTTATCAAGCAGTTATTCTCTGCCCTGTTTTTTTGTTTTTGTCTTGTGCAGAACAGAAAAAGTGGAACAGCTCCTGCCTTCATTTCATTCCATTTGGCAAAGCCAATGTGTACAAATTGATTTCTGTGATTCTAAACAAAATAAGATAAACAAATAAAACAAATGAATAAGATTCTGGTTGCTCACCAATACGAACGCCTGAATTATTGTTTGATTAAGAAATAATTTCTAGATTATAAGCAAATAAAATGAGAATTTAGTTACTAACTATAAACAAATTGTTTTATGAGTGAGACACGCGATTTCTGTGATTATAAGCAAATTAACGAAAACGAGAATCTGGTTACTAACCCAAACCATTAAGGTAGATTTATTCAAAGAAGAGCTGAGCCCGAAAAGAGGAGCCAAAGGTGAAAGGAAGCATTTCAGAGGTGCATCCACTACGCTTCAAGCTGGAAGTGATGGTCAGTGTAGCTGCTGCCCAATAAACCCAGTTGAGCGAAGGGAACAGCTTAGAAGTGGAAAATCAGAGAGGTCAACCAATACATCAATTAATCTGGCTGAGGTGTTGTCCAGTGAGGCTTTAGTCAAGGCACAGATCCTTTCAGTTTAGCGATGGAGGCGTGCATTCAAGACAAAAGCCATGATCTTGACAGAACTTTTAGCCTTAGTGTAACTGATCGATGAAGCCTACATTTCCACAGCCAGGACTGTTCTGAGCACATAGGTTTTCTCCACTTCCTACACATGCTGAGTGCATTGGTTGGCTGATTGTCCAAAATAACATCATTATGCTAGAGTCAAGTGCATTGGTGAGACTGTGACCGATACACTCCTCTCAAGACTCTGTTGGAACCCCTGAGTCCCTACAATATGCTTTCCATTTACAGGGAATCATTTACCATGACCCCAGTATCTTTGGCCCCATTATTGGTTATATAGACACAAGCCCAATCCTAATCTAATGGATTTGTGGGGTGACCAAGTCAAGAAGTACAGTACTTTTAAAGCATTTTTACATGACAGGTTTATGTTTGGATTCTGATATATTTTATTCCTACATTTTCTTTTATATATGAGCACTTGTGATAGTGTTATAATTTCTTTTGCCTTTATTAAGCAAATGGAAGCAAACTGTCAGGGATTCAGAGTTGAAATTGTGAATGGGAGTTACCACAGGACCCTGACAGAATTTGAATGTAACAAAACAATCAAAAAACATTTATTAAGCCCCTACTATGTTCCAAATTGGGCAGCTAGGTGGAGCAGTGGCACCGGACCACTGGTGTCCTCAAACATGACCTCAGACATTTCTTAGCTTTATGACCCTGGGCAAGTCACTTCACCTCGTTCGTCTGAGTTCCCTAATCTGTAAAATGAGCTGGAAAAGAAAATGGCAAATCACTCCAGTATCTTTGCCAAGAAAACCCCAAATGGGATCTCGAAGAGTTGGACATGACTGAAAAAACTGAACAACAACAAAAAATGTTCCAAGTATTGTGCTAAGCACTGGTTACCACGTGGGGATGGTCTTTTTTTGAGAATCTATTATCTGCCATTGCAAGGGCAGGTTAGAGTGAGTGAGCTAGCCTAGAGAATGAGTATGTATCCATTCACCCACACGAGAGATGGGAGATGCTATGGTGTATTTAGTTTCCTTCACTTCTCCCCCTGCTCCAGTCTTAAATCTGACTTCTTCACTATGTTCGAACAGCCTTCTCACCCTGGAAAATGCCTCCACTCGGCAGATTCCTTCCCTCCTCAGCCCCTTCCTCCCCCTGGCAAACTCTTTCTGGACCCTCCATTTTGAAGAATGGCTCAGAGTATCCAGGCTCCCTCCTCTCCCAGCTCTTCTCCTGGTCCCTGGAGTCTGGATCTAGACTTTTCAGCTTCCTTTTATGTACTGTTTGCTTAAACTGTAAGCTCCATGAGGACCGGGGGCTATTTCTTTTTGGCTAGTAGTTGTAATTACAGAGTCTAGCACATGGAAAATACTTAATAAATACTTCTTGACATAGTCACCCACAAATCCATTATATTAGGCTTGGGCTCATGTCTAAAGTCTTCCCAAATCAGAGAATTGTTTGATTGTTGTCTTTTACTCTCTAAGAAGACCAAAACGACATCACTATGTCAGGGTCAAGGTTCAACTGTGGCTGACCAGGCCAGTACAAGCTCAGAAGACTCTGCCGTAGGTCAGGCACAAATAGTCCACGTGCGCATTTGGAGTGGAGATGTCTCTAAATTTGCACACTTCTCATTCTTTTGAGCTACTGCAATCCTGCTTTGCTCATAGAGCACAGTGCCTTCTTTGATGCGGACACACCATGTTGGGCAGCCCTGTGCCAGTGACTCCTGTGTCTCATACTTAATTCCAGAGTTCTTCAGAGAGACCTTGAGAATGTCTTTGATTCTTTTGACCTCCGTGTGAGCACTTGCCTTATGTGAGTCTTTTAGGTAAACATATGTTTGGCATTCAAACAACGTGGCCAGCCCGTTGGAGTTGCACTCTCTGAAGGAGAATTTGAATGTTTGGCAGTTTAGCTTGAGAAAGCACCTCAGTGTCTGGTACCTTATCTTGCCAGGTGATCTTTATAATCTTCCTAAGACAATTCAAATGGAAGCAGTTCAGTTTCCTGGCACGGAGCTGGCATACTGTCCAGGTTGCACAGACAAACAAAAATGAGGTCATCACAACGGCTCTATAGACCTTCAGTTTGCTAGGCAGCTTAATACCTCTTCTCTCCCACACTTTCCTTCAGAGCCTCCCAAACACTGAGCTAGCTCTGGCAACATGTGTCAACTTCATCATCTATGTGCACATCCCTTGGAAAATAATAACACCCTGATAAGTGTTATCCACAGAATTCAAAATTTCTCCATTTGTTGTAATCGATTGGTTCCATGTATCGATGGTAGGGAACCTCTGTTTTCTTGGTGTTAAATCAGAGAATAGAAAAGTACTCAATGTAGAAGTGGTAAAGGACAGCTATTTGTTTCTTCTATATACCTGAAATGTTTAATATACACGAGACCCACAAGAATGTGTAGCATAGGCATGACATCTGATCTGCCTTCTGTCTTCTCTCTCTGGGTTGGCTTAATTGTTCCAGCCTGCACCCCATGCTGGTGGGTTGGGGAGGTTTCTAAAGGATATAGCCACTGCTCCAACTCATTCTCTTAGGGTTCTGGAGATAACCTTGGTGAAAAAAAAATACACTCTTGCCCCGGGAGTAGGCAAGAACCCCAGAACTCCCACAGTATGCTTTTTATTTACAGGAAATCAGTTACCATGACACCAGTAACTGTTAAACATAAAACATTTACTAAATGATAAGACAAAAGCATTAGTAACCATAACATTTACTCAACAGAAGACCAGAGCAGGAACAATCATAATAAATCTATCCACCATTAATCTGAGTTATACTTTCCCATTTCATGGAGCATGCTGGGGAGAGAGTGGGGCATGCATACAAACCTGGAAAAAGCATGTTACTGGGGAAACCCATTTATTCAGGGCAAATTCACAACTCTGTGCTATAGGATTGGATATCCTTAGTTCCTTCAGGAAAAATCTATCACACAAAGTCCTTCTTTGCCAACTGCAGTCCTGGTCCTCACAATTACTGGACAGTCTCTCCTTTTCTGCTGTTAAACCTATTATGCAGTGACAGGCTCTTCACTCTCACAGCCAGCCTGTAAAAGAGATCTGCAAATAGCAAGGGATTCTGCTTTATCTAATCAGCTCCAAAGTTTTTTCTCATGGCAAAGCACATCTCACGGCCAAACAGAGGTACATAGCCTATACCTCGCACTATGTTTCTCCCCCTCAAACTTGCTGAAGGACCTTAGCCACTTTTGAGTGGTTTCTCTCTCTCACTTGTAGGTGGTGCTAAAGAGCAAGAAGGCCTGATAGCTCTTCACCCAGCAGCAGGATTCAGGTTGCTTCCATTGAGTTTCTAGAGGGTAGCCCAGCCTTTCTCTCTCTCTCTCTCTCTCTCTCTCTCTCTCTCTCTCTCTCTCTCTCTCTCTCTCTCTCTCTCTCTCTCTTAGAGGCAGTTGGGGTTAAGTGACTTGCCCAGGGTCACACAGCTAATAGCCCAGCCTTTCTTCCACCAGTTAGCAAAGTGATGATGCTCTTCTAAACTGCAAGCTCCCAGTAGAGCAGACGAAGCATCACTTCTCTCGGCTGGAAGTTTTCTGTCTCCAGCTTCTTGTGACTCATCCTTTGCTCAGCCCACTCTCTTGCTTCTTTGTCTCTCTCTCTTCCTATAACTTCTTTGCTGGTCAATGATTCATCTTTCTTTTACAAGGTAGAACTCAAGAAATGTAGCTTTCTGTCAGGTATGAACCCAACAGTCTTTGTAAAATCTTCCTACAGTTCTGAGACAGTTATTTGATTCATTGTTTTGTCACTATAAACCTTAAAACTAAAAATAGAAGGCAGCTGGTGGTAGAGTGGATAAGAGCATTGGGCCTGGAATCAGGAAGACATGAGTTCAAATCCAGGCTCAGACACTTAGCTATGTGGCCCTGGGCAAGTTATCTAACCTACATTGCCATAGTTTCCTCATCTGTAAAATGGGGATAATAATAGCATTTACCTCCCAGGGTTGCTGTAAGGATCAAATGAGAAGATATTTGTAAAAGTGGTTAATACAGGACCTTGTACAGAG